AATCCCATTAATTGGTCTCATAGTGCCATGTTCGATCCTCGCACAATCCGGTCACGTGGAGCTATTGCGATTATGTCACGATTCTTCTTTCTTTCCCCTTTTTCCAAGCTCGTGCTCATTTCTATCACACTCATTGTACTTGCTACTGCAGTCTTTCTTCCCAACATCATGGAGAAACCCGGAATTCAGCATAAGGTGCATCACTCTTTTTTGTGTTACAATATATAAGTATAATAATCATAAATAGTTATACATTACTCAAATTGTATTTCCGACTATACTCCTTTAAGTATTATTTAACTGAAAAATATATATATGCTAACTTACTTCATATAAGAAATATTTTTTTGTTAATTTTTCATCAAGAAAAAAATTCAAATTAAAAGGTATTTGTGAAACCACAAAATATTTATCAAGTTTATTTTGAATATTATTAGATAGTGTTATTGTCACCAGTAAGTCAGTCATTAGAACAGTGCACTTTTTGTGTAACAATAATCAGAATACTTGAATTTCCACACTAAATAAGATAAGACTTTAACTTTGAGACAGATTATATTTAATCAATTTTTGTATACTTGCTAATTTCTTCTTAACTGCCTTTTCCTAAATATATATCAAGATTACAAGTATCACTCTCTTATAATATACAATAATAACACAATATTTCTTTTTCTTAAATATTACTTTACTATAGTGGTGTAGATTTAGTTTATACTTCAAAAAATGTGTAATATTATTGTGCAAAGTTGTAACAGTTATTGAATAAAATAAGAAAAAGTAAAGGACATTCTAAAACTTCAAACTTAAAGCTCTAAACTAAACTTTAATTTGAACTTTCTCTCTTTCAAACTATATAAACCTATTCTATTTATAAGCTTTGTTGATGTGTTCATTTCACTACATACTATTACCAATTATTATATCATTCTATTATCAATGTTATACATGTTGCTGAAATTTGTAGATCCTTGACGCAATTGACGCAATTATTTGACGCAATTAATTGAGTCACTATTAAAACATATAAATAATTGAGTCATGACACAATTATTTTTGAGGATTTTGAGAATTGAGTCAACAGCAAAATAATTTACGTCACATGTATAATCAATGTTACTATTATTATGACATGTCACAATATTACATTTCCATCCTTATTGTTCTTACAACAATAGGAAACAATAATAAATATTAAAAAGAGTAGATTAATAAAAAGTAAATAATATAAAATTAGAAAATGAAGTAATAGTTAAAGTAGAAAATAAAGGAGTTATAAAAGGTATCAATTTATTAATTTGATATTATTATATTTATCTTTTAATAAAATTTGAACTTGATTTATTTTATCAGATACAAAATTCAATTTTTTAATTCAAGACCCAAGAACATAAAGTAAATATGAAATTATATTATCATTTTTCCAATAAAAAGCAATGTGTAATATAAAGTTTTTTTAACTTTATCCAAAGTTTCCAAATTTTGAATAGATATATCTAAATCAGAATTTTTTAAATTACTATTTTATTTTTAAAAATATCTTCTGTTTTTTCAATATTAATTTTATTAACTTTAGATAAAAAAAGTTCAAGTATAATGTACCTAATAAATATTTATTAAGAATATTTTGATATATTTCAGCATTCATTTGTCTCTAATAAAACATAAATAACCAATTTCTTGTGCAACTATGCATCCCCAAACCATTATAAAAAAATCCACCACCATATTTTATCATAGGAGTTGCTTGATTTGATTGAAGTAAAGAATATTTTTTTTCATTCCCATTTTTGTCCATCAGATCTAAAACAATTTATTTTAGTTTCATTGAAGAAAATAACATGCCTCCAATTATTAACTATTCAATATTTATATCTGTTAGCAAATTCCAATCTTGCTTTCTTGTGTTTTAGTTTAAGAAATGGTTTTTTAGTCTTAGTAAAAGACTTTAAACCATTTTTTAAAGTATATATATGAACATTTGTGCAGAAATATCAATATTATACTGCTTTTTAAGTTTCTTTTGAACATCAGCAGTATTTGTTTGACCAGAACAAATAGAGCGTATAATAATGCATTCATATTTTTTGTCTAAAGAATATGGATGGCCAGCTAATGGTTTTAATATATCAGGGCAAGCTTCTTTTTGAATCATTGATATAGTATTATGACTAGTATTGAGTCTTGAAGAAATTTTTCTTGTAGACAATCCTTGATGAAGTAAAGATATAACATCAGTATGTTTTTGCTTAGATAGAGGTCTCATAGTAAACAAATAATAAAAAATAAATGAAAAGATTGCAACTTCGTGTTTTTTATATAGTTTTTCTATGTAATAATATATTAGTAAGCATCAATTCGCAAATTACTAAATATTACTAAGCGCAAAAAAATTGTACAAATGAATTCATTCACTTGAATTACATATTATACTGTTAAAATGATATCAATGTAAATCAAATTAATATTATATAAAACATTAGCAAATACGCCATCTAATGGTAATATGTACTTATACTTAAATATTAATTAAATCAAACTTATGCGCTTAATATAAAAAAAATTTTTTTTAGGACAATTTTTTGAGTCAGTGTAATTACTGCCAGAGGCAATTAAGAGTTTGTTAAACCTTTATAAATATAAAAGCTGCGATTAAATAATTCCTGACACATGTTACTTAGTCTTTATGCAATATACAAATGCCTTTCTATTAATTGCTAACAGGCTTGTTAGCAACGCAAAATTATATTGAATACCACTAAACAAGATTTCGAGAAGAATTTTTTAAAAAAAAAATGCAATAATTTTAATACAAGAATAATAATAGCTCAAAAAACAAAAAAATTCAATATATCGATTACAAAATGAACCATAGAAATCAGATGGGTCATGAACCAATAAACGTACAGGATACTGGCATACTGTAACTAATTTAGAAGCCAAAATCAATTTCTATAAACGCAAAATAGTTTAATAAATTAATGCACGTGCGAGTAAACATTATTTGAATAAAATGATTCTTACCATCTATGTTCTCATAGAAATCTAATTATAATAAAAAAATATTATTATATTTGAGTCAGATTTATAATAAACCGAAAAAATATTTCTTTCTTACCATCATTTTTTTCGGTTTCATGTTTTGTTCTAATTGGGCATATCAATAGTATTATAAATATTGCGTTAATCAACAAATGAAATCGTTTTATGAGAATCAAATTTATCATATGAGGTAGCACTCACAGAGAATTCTCCGAAACATTACTGGAGCTATGTTCTGTTCAAATGAGTTAATTTAATAATAAATATATACGTGAATTTTTCATAGGAGCTAACAGAAAAAAAAAATCAATAAAATCAATAAACATATTGACCTGAAGTTTTTCTAGATTTTACAAATGGAATTCCGGATTTTATCATCTCTTCACGTTTTTTCTCTGCCGCTAGAAGTTCTTCGGAATCTAGAATTTCGATTATTTCCTCAATTGTCGGCCGTTTTGAGGGGTCCGAATCCCAACATTTTTTCATTACATTCGCCCAAGATTTTGGTGTATCATTTGTAATTTCCGGTCTCAATCCTCTAAGTATATCTATGATAAGATTTGTATCATGTGCTCTATCATGAAATGGATGGTGACCAGACGTGAGTTCCCACATAATCATACCCAAACTATATATATCAGATTGTGTCAAATATTCTCCATTGAAATTCTCGGGTGCCATATAAGGAATAACTCCATAAATTGATTCAGACTTTTTATTCACAGGCTGGCATGTCCCTAAATTGAGAATAAATGATAAGATATTAATACGCCCCCCTTTTTTTCTCGTAGATATCAATATATTTCCACTGTGCAGACCCCGGTGCATTAAATTTTGTTGATGAATCTCTTTGATAGATTTCAAAAGTGTGAGGACAACGTTTTTTTTAAGGTTCCAATTTACTCTATAATTAAATTCGGTTGCCAGTAAATTTCTCAAGCTGCCATAATTTGCATATTGCATGACAAAAATGTAATTTTTTGTTTCGGGTTCCTGTGAAACTCCATAGCATTTAATAATATGACGATGTTTTACTTCGTCTGATTTAAATAAATATAAACTTTGTAACTATAAAATCACATGAAGAATTTATAAGCAAAATAGAGTAGAAAATAAATATCAATAAAAATAAGATACATACTTTATTTAGAAAGGTTGAACTTATATCCGCTGAATCGCTGAGCACTTTCAATGCTACTTCCACGGATTCGGAACGAACTACTTCTCCCGTTAATAAATTCCAATGCTTAATATGTCCCCTGTGCCACGTCGCTTTGTAAACCTTACTAAATCCACCAATTCCGATATATCCAATATCCGAAAAATCCTCATATGGTATCCACTCTAAAATGCTTCTTGCTTGGTTATATGATGATCTTACGAGAAAGTTATTAATATCCTGATTGTCACTTTTTGGAAATAATTCAGCAAAAGAACAAAGCCTGCAAATTTTCTTGCCCACGTCCGCATATCTTCTGTATATGTGACAGTTAGAACATCTCCCTTTTTGATAATGACTCTTGCTAACGTTTTTTGGTCTTGGGGGTTCTACATGAATTTCCAGAGGCTCCAATGTTTCTTCGCTAGCTATTTTATTGAAATATCAAGGTTTTTAGATAATTACCGTAGATGCGAGGTTTGAATATTAAAATCTTTTAGATTATTTAAAAATATTACCCGAGGGTTTCGAAAGGTTAAACGAATTTCTCGAATTTTTAATGTTATTTGCAATCTCTATAATGGGATTCAATAATCTAGCATAATACACTGATTTTGGATGATTCTGTTCGAATCCTTTTACAAATGAAATACCAGAGTCTATCATTTGCTTTCGTTTTTTTTCTGCATTTTGAAATTGGTGATAATCATTTGCATAGAATTTTTTTGTGGCTTGATCTATTATTTCTATTCCGGGTCGATTTAAAGGATTTGAATCCCAACATCTTTGCATCAATCTTTTCCAATAATCGGGTGTGTCATCAGTAATTTCAGGTCGCAAACCATCCCATATATTTAGGATGAGATATTCATCATGTGCTCTATCATAAAATGGCTGACGACCAGACGTAAGTTCCCACATAATCATGCCTAAACTGTATATGTCGGACTGTAATGAAAATGCTTCGCCTTTTAAAATCTCAGGAGCAATATAGGGTATAATTCCGTAAATTTCATGACAACTTAACTCTTTCGTGGTATTATTAAATCCCAAATCAATTTCAACTAGAGGATTTGGTTGTCCCTTTGCCATTAACAAATTGCCGCTATGTAAATTTCGATGAATTACATTCCATCTATGAATTGACATAATTCCTGATGCGATATTATTCGAAATCTCTCTTTTGTTAAACCAAGTAATTTTTGTAAAGTTGGCTTGCAAATAAACATTCAAATCCACAGGTCTATAGTTCATAACAATTATATGATTCAGAGTCTTAGGATCTTGTGAAATCCCGTAACATCCATTTATGCGCCTATACTTCTTTGAAAATAAGAATTCTAATTTTGGCTATAAAAAAACGTATCGGCCAGTGTAAATATAGATGATATACTGTACATACTGTATCAAGAATTTGAATAATGATTTGCATACCTCTTTTGAAAATTCAGAAACCAGATTTCGAGATTCATTGAGAATCTTCAGTACTAATTTTTTTTCCTTTGCCATCATCTTATTTCCATTCTTATACCTGATCGCTTTATAAACTTGACTCGATCTACCTTGACCAATTTTTTCTATATCTGAAAATTCTTCGTATGGGATCCATTTAGAAATATTGTTTCTTTGTCCTGAATTTGTCAATGCACTTTCTTGTTGACATTCTGAGCCCACTTTAGATTGATACTCGGGTGTTTTTTCAACCCTGGGCGAATCAAATAGCATTTTATTAATTTCTATATTTACGGTATATGTTAAATAAATGGTAGTATTAGTGACATCGCATACAAAATAAATATTTTTCTATGAATTACGTAAAACTATTGTATAACAAATCAAACAACTTACTATAATGTATTGAACCCGGATGACAATCTTTCCTAAATGGGGCATCATCCTTAATTATTTTCTGGCGTTCTTCTTCGGCTTCTTTAAACTGTAGATAATAGTTACTCTTCCATTCTTCCACTATTCTCACGATTTCTTCTATTTCGGGTCGATTTGAAGGTTCTGAATCCCAGCATCTTCGCATTAAACTTGCCCAACAATCGGGCGTATCTTTGGTAATCTCCGGCCTTAGTCCATTGCATATATCTACAATAAGATTTTTATCGTATGCTCTATCCTGGAACGGTTGATTTCCAGACGTAAGTTCCCACATAATGATTCCTAGACTATATATGTTAGATTGAACTGAAAGAAATGCATTCTTTAATATTTCAGGCGCAACGTAAGGTATGACTCCGTAAATACTCGACTTGTCATTCATTGGATATTCTAGATTATCGATTATCGGGAGATTTGAATTTATTAATATATTGCCACTATGCAAATTCCGATGAATATAATTTGCCTTTTTCATCATATTGAAAGACTTCACGATATTTTCCAAAAGCTTTCTCTTATTCAACCAAGTTACAATGCTAAAATCGGTTTGTAAGTATTTCTTTAAATCGCCATGGTTCGCATAACTTGTGACAAAAATATAATTTTCAGACACGGGATCTTGCGAAATTCCGTAAACTTCAATAAAACGTCTTTTATATTTTGCCGGCATATTAATTCGATTTAAGAATTGTTGCTACAAAAATATTAGCAAATGAATGGATAATCATAAAGCAAAGTTCGAATGCTAAATACCTCTTTCAAAAATTCAGAGTTCATTTCCTGTGATTTATCAAAAAACTTTAATGCTACTGTTTCCGGTGGAAATCGACCAAATTTTCCGTCTTTTTTATGCCAGAAACGAAGACGCCCTTTATTCCATGTTGCCTTAAAAACTTGACTAAAATCTCCATGCCCAATTTTTTTAATACTTGAAAACTCCTCGTACGGTATAAATTCCAAGAAAGGATACCCCTTCCATTCTGCAAATTTTCTTAGAAAATCATCAATATACTGGTTGCCACTTTTTCTCAGAAAAGACTCTCCAAAATAACAAAATCCACATAATTCTTTCTCTCCAAATTCATTTCCTTTCTTTGTTGTCTTCTGACAGCCTGGGCATATTCTAACTGGGCAACTTGTAATGACTTCTTCCATTTAGTTCGAATAGATGTTAAAAGATGACAATAAGAAAGTATCTTATTTTACTTTGTCCTATTCATGGCCTTTTAAATATTTTAGAATTTATTTATTAAGAGTACACATCGTATCAAAATAATAGACTGACTCGATAAAACGCCGTTGGGCCTCATTTAGAATGAATGAAAATTATTTACCAAATTTTAAATGATTAACTTTTTTATAGGATAAATATGTAATTGCAACAAGGCTTCGCGTTGTTAAGTGCCGTGTGAAAAAATTTAAATATATTATTAGACTCGTAGAAATTTCCAAACTAGTTTATCATTTTATTTGTAATCAAGCGTGCCATTCAAACCAAGATTAAGAACTCCATTAAAACTATTAAAAAAAAATGACAATAACTTAAATACAATACTGTCTGTATCAAGGATAGTGTCTGGTTTGAGTTTGAACCAATACAGTACAGTAACCAATTTGATAGTACAATAATTCGGGTTTAAGTCGGATCGATCATTAACTTATTTAGAGATCTTATCCTCGCATTGGAATTTTTTTTTTGTATATTTTATTTATTTCACATCTAGATGTAGTTGTGAGATTATTGTTACTATATTAGGAGTACTTAATATGAACGAAGTTAAAATGAATATGGCCTCAGAAAAATTACTATGATCTTTAAAGAATACCTTTGGCTTCCGTTAACGACTACAACTGGCAAACGTGTTCATTAATACTCACTGAATAAATAACATTACTGCCATCATCGAGCTCTGATTATATATACTGTATACTTTTTTTCACCACCATTTATTTAATAACGCATTATATCGATCATCTTCACCACCGAAATATTTCAACGCATCAATTTGTTCTTTGAGGGAGGTTATGGATAATGTAAAATACTCTTTGTCAAAGTTATTCCAGGCAAAACACTTTCATCGATTAAAGATACTGAATCTTTCCCGTTGATAATGACAGCCTTATTATTATTCTCTGGCTGCACTTCATAATCTTTTAAACATTTAATCGGAGATTTTCGTCACATTCTTAATTATTTTTCTACCGAGATCCATCAAATATACTCCATTGATCTAGTTGTCGCACAGAACCATATCAATAACAACAATATCGATATCAAGTTTTTTCGGTCTCGGAAACCTCATTAATAATAGGAAATATTAGATTAGCGCATGTAAGTAAGCACAATGAATGAACAAATGAAAAAGAATCGTAAATTAGTACAATACTTGGTTCTCAAATAAAGTCAAATAATACATATTTTTTCCTCTTTTTAACGCTAGGCAAACAGAAGATACTTCTTTAGAAAGTTATTTGATGATGCGTGATAATGACCTACTGTAGTTCATTTTTTTTTTCGGATAATATATTAACCTATTGAATGATCTGAATCTACCAAACCTATATTAAACCTACCGAAAAATAAAACCTATATTAATTAAACTGAATCTACTGACAATATATTAACACGCCAAAAATATACTATAATTTTCAATGATCTTTTTGTCTGATTGTGTTTAAATGCGACCCCTTATCTATTGAAGATATTCAGGGTATTATTAAAAATAAAATTAAATATAACGAGCATCAAAAATTATGTTCAAGAAATATAAAATTTTTATTGTGGCAGTTACTGTATATCAAATTTAAAGATAAGTTTATTCACAAATAGATCTTAAGAATATAAACTTATGTCCATTAAAAGATCTGAGAATTAGAAGAGAATTATAATTGATATTTTGTTAATATTACTAAGATAATATGTTAAAAAGTATAATAATGGATACAGTAAAAGACAAAAAAAGACATTTGCAAATCCCATGATTACAAGCAAACATCTGTGCCAAAAATCATGTAATTTATAGTATACAGTAGATAGATTAGATCATATATTATTATCAATAAAAAATCAATACAGTATGATATATATTTGTTATTTTATTTCAATCATCTACTACCTATACTTTATTGATATTACCAAACCTTTAAAAAGTAAATTAAAAATTTTTTTCTTTCTTCGATTACATGCTCTTCTAACTTATTCGAATATTTGACATATATTTTTTTACATATCTTTTAACCAAATCCTATAGGCTCTTCATAAGGTTTAAATCAGAACAGTTAGATGGTTAATCCATAACTTTCAATATTCTTTCTTAAAAAAAATTCTTGAAAAAACATTTCATATGCTTTAAATTATTGTTTTGCTATTATCACTATCGAGTATTAAGCATTTTTTTTCTTATAGACATATGTTTACAAAAGTTATTGATATAAAATTAATGTTAATTATCTTTTAAAAGCAAACTTCTATCTTAAAAAATTCATCACATGCTATAATTTTTAGTCTTTTGAAATAAAACAAATAAATATTTAATTATGATACTAATGCTTTATTATATTCTAAAAAACTGAAGATTATTTTATTCAAAAGTATTTTTTTTAATTATAGTTGACATATTTAAGCTCTATTTAATATATATTTGTTTGAGTCTTTATAAATATGCAACTATTTTAGAAAGATTATGTTTATATCTAATATTTGTTAAATACTATTGGGGTTTTTTTATTAGTTTTATAGTTATTTCTTATTGAAATTAAAGAATTATTGCAAATATATTGATTTATTGTTTATATTACAGATTCAATAAGATTTTTTGATTATTAATTATCTTTTTCATAAATGTTTTCATCTATTATTTAATTTTTTGTTATTATTATAAATTGTTTTTATAAGAATTTTTATTATTATAAGAATTTTTGAACATTTCACACTTTCTTGCTTCTATAAAAAACTTGGATATTTATAATGACAAAACAAAATGTCATTCATTATCAAATTGTTATAAAAGTATGTCATAATAATTTTAAATATATAAAAAATAAAAAAGTTTTTTTTTTATTTTCTATTGAATATTTTCAGATTATATTTTTTAATCAATAAAAATAACAAGAATATATTGTTTATTTGTCATGTACAATAAAACTAAAATATATTGTCTAACAATTAATTGATCTTATTTATGGTATAAAATAAATATAAAAACTTGTATATATGGTTTTATTATTTTTTATTAATTAAAATGATCAATTAATTAATATTTAATATTTATAATATTTATAAATACATAAATTTTATTAAATATACTGTATATTATTATTGTTTATTTATTTATTTATTTGATTGGAATTTAATTATATTAATATTGTTTAAATGTTTATATTAATTAAGCTAGGAAATATATTTGAGAATTTAAAAAAATTAAATTAAATTTTGATTTTATATTTTAAAATATATATTATAAAAAATTTTAATTCTATGTAATAGTAAATGAGTGTTAATGTTTTTTTAACTTTTGAAATTATTTTGTTTACGGGATAAGATCCGATTTTCAAAAGTTATTGCAATAAGCAAAAAAATATTAACTTTATATGAATTTTACTGCAATAAAGACAGTAAATATAAGCTTTTAAAGATATTATTGTAAATTAGAAAGTTTGATTTTGTTTTCTTTTTTTAAAAAAAAAGTTATGAATATTAATTTTTAAATTTTTTATGATCAAGTATATTTGTAAATAAAAATATTTAAATAGATATTTGAATAAGAGTTTTAGAAAAAGATTTTTTATAAATATTTTCAAATTAAAAATTTAGTGAAAAATAAAAAAAAAATTGTTTTTATTTTTTTATAGTTATAACTTTAATAACATTATATACTGTATTTCACTGCTAATTTAAAATAACAATTATATAAATATTTTTATAGAGTAAAAGCTTGATGCTATAAGATATGTATTTAAATCGTAACAGGATTTTTTTTCAGTTCTGACAACGACATGTTTGAGAGATATTTTTTTAAAGCAAGGTGATAATAGTCTTTGCCTTTTGTTCTATATATGGTTAGTTTAAATAAATCGATTAATTTGCGATTTTAAATATATTGTCTTTTATGTTTTTTAATAAATTCAAAAAAATAGTATTATATTATGGTTTTATATTTTATCAATTTAATCATTAAATATTTTTACAATTTTAATTATATTGTATAGACTGTTAATTTCCTCGGTCTGATTTGATTGATGTAATTAAGGATCAATATACAGATGTTGTGTTCTTTTTGCAAGCAAATATAAATTTAATAATAGAGATCCTATAATTTTGTCAAAATAGAGAATTTTATATATCCTAAGATGAAAACCCATTAAATTTACAATTCCTTTGTAATGTGATGGAAGAATTATCATTTGCATTTTGTAGCATGAGTAAATGGAACATTATCTACGCCAAGTTCCCGAACAATCACAAAATCAGACTTATACTGTATTACAACGAAAAAAGGTGTAGAAAAGATAAAGATCCCGTGAGTATCGTCTAATCCACAGCACAATTGAGAAAAACGACGGTCTGGAGTATTACAAGATCGATTCCGGCATGACATGTAAATCAAAAATCATGTAATTTTATGTAATAATGTTACCACAACTTTTTTATGTAATAATTATGATGAGAATGTGTAAAATAAGGTTAATAAAAAGAGAATTTTGCCAACATCGAAATCCGTCTCATCTAAAGCAAAACTTATGTAAATTCATTTTATTAGGTAAAATAAAATTTTGCTTAACGTTATTCTAAGTTGTCTCAGAGCTTGATTTTTCGTTGTTTTTTGTTAAGGCTCTCGTAATCAAAACATTGTTGTGGGTCACATGGATTTAATTAAGACAAACGGACTGAAATTATTATAACCCATTCAAGACATTAGTCAAAATCAATTTTCAACTTAAGTATTAAACTGGACTAATTATTCATTACAGTATTGTTAACCTTAAGTTACATTTAAGCTAATAATTGCCTGACAAGAAATATATATATATAGTATTTATATAAAGTTAACATAAATCAAATATATAATTTTCTTGTGGTTATATTTTATACAAAATTTTATCTTGTGAGATGTAGACGGTGCTATCATAGATATTTCTGTTAGTGTTCCTCTGAT